CGAATATATTTATTTTATAAATATATTGCTAATTTATCCCGAGTTGTATTTGCGAACGTGTCTCGGTATCGAAGTAACTCTACAATAATGTTGCATATTTATATTTTATTTATCAAAGAAAAAATATACGGTTTACAAAACGACACTTAATACAAAATATAGAGACAGTTTGTGTCTGTCTTTTTTGTACAGTTAATTGCAATAGTTAATCAATATATTAGTTTTATGATCAAAATTCTGAGAAGTTTGCGAAGGTAGTTTTTCTATTATCCAGAGACGCGCTCTCTTAATTATTTTGAGAGAGAAAGAGAGGAAGTGAAAGGGAGAGAGAGAAGGAAACGATATAAGATTTTTATTTCGATACTAGAATTTCGGTATCGCCAGATAAATATTGATCCCTCGCGAGATCGACTGCATAGCGGAAGCGATAAGCGCGCGGTCACTCTCATTTCGCTTAATCCTTTTTATCACAATTAAACAGAGTCGCACGGCGCCGTTTACGTAACTCGAGAGTTTTAACGGACGCGCGTTAAAAGTAGCAAACATCTCGAACATCTGGAGCGTCGACTTGAGTCCGCCCTGGCTGTTGCCAGCCCGGTCGAGCCGAGCCTTCGGCGGTTGCGGAGCTCACCGGATAATTTTCGTAGCCGATGCGAGTTGCAGCCCGCATTAGTACAGCGTTCTCTGCCTTCGTTGTGTGTGTGTGTGTGCGTGTGTGCGTGTGTGCGTGTGTGCGTGCGGGTTCCGTGCACGTCACGGCAGTGCTTGCGTGTATACGGGTGGACGCGCGTATGCGAGCAGTCAGTCGAGCGTAGATGCATCCAACTGTCTTCTAGGTCGATACGATGGCCTATACCAGGCCCATTACGGTTATGCACGCGTACACGTAGCGTCGCGTTTGCTCAATTCTTTTTTCTCTCTTCTCATCTTTCGCAACTATATTTGTGTTGTTGACACATATTTGCCGGAGGACGCGTCAGCTTTTCTTGATTTTCTGGAAACAAAGTTTCGTGTCAAGATTCTTGCGACCATGTTGCGCAAGATCAAATTCGCGAACAAATCCGAGGACATGGGGAATCCCGTGAGTCGAAATTTTGGTCCCTGCTTTAATCCTGCAAATTCTACGGAACTTAAAGGACTAATGTGGGGGATATTAAGGCATATGTACAAGCTATTGTCCTCTCGTGGATAAAAAACCATTACTTATTTATTCTTCAAGCGTGCACTATAATGCAAATTTGCACTATTAATATCTTCAAAAAGTGATTTTTTTCTTAAGAAAATGAAATATAAATCAATTGTTCACTTCTTTATTACTTTCTTAACGGCTTTTGTACTATCATCGACAAATTTCTGATCTTTTTTTATATTAAGAAAATGACAAGTTGATCAGTTCGCGCGGAGCCGAGTTATAAATCGGTAAAAATTATTGGTGCAAGTTTGCACCTTGGTTTGTAAGTTTGCTGTGTGCCTTTGGTGTCTTTCACTGGATGTGTGTGCTCGAAGGATTAATTATAATAGTTGGTTGTCTCATATATTTTACCTGTAGTTGACTAGGTTACATAATTGATGTATTGCTCACATTGGTCGCGAGCACGGTTCGTTTGAGGAACACTTTTCATAGACCACCTCGTATTTCTTTTTAACGTGATTATGTAAAACAGACTTAGTCTGCTTGTATACAGGGTGTCTCACACTCTCCTCCGGGCATTTTGTGGGGACGTAGAACATGTTGAGGTGAACATAAAAGTCCTATACCGTTTTGCAACATTCGCAATAATTATCGAGATATTAATTGTAGAAAACTTATAAATGATCATGTAGAATATGGCAAATGAGTTATACTAGCAACGACTGCCGTCGTGTACTTATACTTTAGGTCAAATTGAACAAAAAAGTCCTCTACCATTTTCCAAATAATCACGTAGATTTTTAATTATTAATTAAAGAAGATTATTGCACGATTTTGCGTGATAATGCACTCATCTTCTTTAATTAATAATTAAAAATCTATGTGATTATTTGCAAAATGGTAGAGGACTTTTTTGTTCAATTTGACCTAAAGTATAAGTACACGACGGCAGTCGTCGCTATTATAACTCATTTACCATATCCTGCATGATCATTCACAAATTTTCTACAATTAATATCTTGATAATTATTGCGAATATTGCAAAACGGACTTTTATGTTCACCTCAACTTGTTCTACGTCCCCACAAAATGCCCGGAGGAGAGTGTGAGACACCCTGTATATGTGGACGTAGAAAGAAAAATTATCGCTGTTACACATGGGACGCCGGTCTCTTGTGAAAAGTCGGTGTGTTCTGTTTTCTGTCACACATGCGTGACACTGGTAACGAACATATTCCGAATAAAAATTAAGTTCCAATAGAATAACCGAAAGAATCATATAATGAATAATTCCGAGTATTTGTTTTCTACAAATGTTTATACAACCCACAATAAAGTTCGAAGTGGAGATGTAGTACAGGTTGAAGTGAATATAATAGTCCCATGCCGTTTTGTGATATTCACAATAATTGTCGAGATATTAGTTAGAAGATTTATGAATGATCACGCGAGATATGGTAGATTAACTGTAATGGCGACGTCTACAATTGTGTTTGTACATTATGTCAAACTGAACGAAAAAATCCTGTCATTTTCCTAATAACTTTGTAGATTTTTAATTATTAATTAAAGAAGATTAACTATTAATTAAAGAAAATTGACGGATAGTCGCTCGAGATAATACATTAATGTTATCTAATTAATAACTGAAAATCTACAAAATTATTAGGAAAAATGTAGAGGACTTTTTTGTTCAGTTTGATCTAATGTATAAGCACGTGGCAGATATCGCCACTACAGCTCATCTACAATATCTCATGTGATTATTCATAAATCTTCTTTAATTAATATTTCAATAATTATTGTGAATATCGCAAAATGGTATAGGATTTTTATGTTCATCTTGATCCGTTTTATGCCTTCACGAGAACTTGGAAAGTTGTTTTGGGACACTCTGTATTATAGACTTTTGCTGGTAGAGCCTATAAAATAGAGAGCCATTTTAGAATCTCTTAGCAAGTTCTTCTCAAAGTCTTGATATGAAAAGAAGAATAGTAGTGCACAACCAAATATAGCATCAAAGGTAGAAGAATAGCTTATATAGTGTGCTATTTCATGATTCTCCGCGTTGGTCGTTCAAGTTCAATAGAATATGCTAGATTAATTCCGATCCGATTTCTCCCAATTTAGAGTAAAAGTTTAGTTGGCGGATTTCTCTATTTGATGGCAAATATCTTTTTTTATAGCGAAAGTTTTTATCGTCACTTTACTTGATATGTCTTTTTGATGTAATAATTTCCTAGGCAATCTCGTTGCTCTTTTTAGAATGAGCAGCAATTTTGAGGAATAAGTGATTTATAAGGGTTCCAAATCGAACAAGGAAGTAAGCTCTGTACTTGACTCAGTCTCGCCGGAGATGACTGTGTCCCGTCACGTCAGCGATATAAGGAGCTTAAGGGAGCTCGCACGGATTACCTTTGACCCAGCCGTGAAACTTTATCGTCGCCCGATTGAAATATAATATAAATATTTCGAAGCGAAAGGAATTGGCGTCCCTATCGAATATTTTCCTCGCGCTCGCCAATCGCTCGTAAGAAATGGGATTACAGTTCGCTCGTGCTGAAAACTGAATATCGTTAATCCTGTTGCGCGAAGGATGAAAGCAGAGCACGATGCGTAAACGCTGCAAGCGCCTCGAACTCGACGTTATGCGGGCCAACATCGTGCAACTCGTGAACAACGTTAGCGAGAAAAATAATCGTGTCCATTAGAACGATCTTTGAAAGAGAATAACGGCAAAGTCAATTTTTAAAGGGATGCTGGAATCGATGACGAACTTGATAACTTGAATGTTGATAACGCAGAGACGATCGCCACTAACACAATCACGCTGTTCTTTTTGTATTTTTTGTACACACAGAACTTACATAAATGTGTGTTGCTTTGTTTTATCATATTCAACGGAAAACCTTGCATGTGTAGAAATCTTTCTGAAAACTTTTCCAACATTCTGAAGCTTCTGAATTCAGATGCAGAGTTACAGTATGCAATTTTCTTCAAAATTTTTCTGTTTGAAGCACCCACACTTTTATGTGCAAGCTACGGGACTTTTGGATTAGGGAAGTGTTAGCTGTCTAACTGACAGCTTGAGATTTTAACTTTTTTTTTCGTTTTTGTTATATATATGTTGAGCAGTGCTCCTATTTATTTTTTCACGTACTTCCATCGTGTAAAAGCATCTATAATTCTGTACAACCAATACGACATAAACAGAAAAATGCCAGTATTCTGTCGGTGAAGTTTTCAGCTTCAGTATCCCCTTTATTTTTAAAGAATCCCCTCTGGCGCACATATACGTTGCTACCTCCTTTTCTCTCTCTACCTAGTTTACTTTTCTCGAAACATGCTAATTCTCGGAATAAATTCATCTTACAACTGCTATTAATATTCCAGTAATTAGCGTTGTCTTCCATATTCAGGGGTTTATATTGCGGAAAAATTATGAAAGGGGAAGTTTAGTTGCAAAGAAAAAACGAGAGAGAGAAGGAGAGGGAGGAAGAGATGGTGAAGGGCTGAAAAAAATCGCGGTATCTTCCAATTCCGTGCGCATAGCTGCGGTGAATTTATCTAGGCGAATGTGATATCGCGGCGAGCATGATATCGACCGTTTTATCTGTCTATCTGTCGGTCGATCGGTACGCCGGTCGTCCAGACGGGCCGGCTTGGCACCAGCTGGACATCGGGAGCCGATCGGCCGTGCGACAAACCTCGCCGCGTGTAAGATTATGCAAATCGACGGTGCGTTTCTCACGTCGCGCTGTCTCCTACGTATTGACGTCGCGATGCGCCCGTAAGCGTCTGCGGATCCCGCGCTCATTCAGCAAGTCGCGCACATCTCAACGATGGCAACCGTCGCTTTGTGTTTCAGTACGGCAAACAGCTCCGCGAGAATTACCGAGCCTTCAAGAACAAGCAGTGCGAGCAGAACAGCAGCGGCAGCCCGAAAGAACAATACAGCAGCTACAATGTGTCCAACGTAAGTGCGATTACGAATGCATGATTCCGGGCGTCGAGAAGGACGTGACGGGAAGCCGTGTGAACACAGACATCTATATTAGATCTGCTAAGTTCCTGTAGTTATTGCACGTAAAAGTCGATTAAAAACTAATTTTTTATTATAAAAAAACTGTGTATAGCAAGTATGCGTTTACGCATGCGTGACGCAAGCAGTATCAAAGGCATTATGGTAATATAGCTGATGTCTACATATGCCTACAGAAGTGACATTTTAACCTCCTTGTCCTAAGCTATTTCCAAATTTTATGAAAATATTAGGTTCTTTCTAACTTCAACGATCACTAGGATACAAAAATATTTTTTTTAGATTTTCTGAATTTTTTCTAGTTTGCAAAGCAGTCAACTGTCAGACTTTAAAGATGCTAGGATAAGTAAATTTCTCACGCATTAATCAATAGTTTAGCATGCTGAGCGTGTAGTTTTACACGATTTAAGTACAAGGAGAATGGGGTTATAGACTTGCCTAGTCGACTGGATAGTAAGACTGAGGAGGTTATACTACGTGTGTGTACATAACGTATATTATTTAAAATTCGATCAATCTGACGTGACTGTCATCCCATTTACATAATCCATGCGCACGAGTACTGTGCAGACTTTTCGGATCCACGTATTTGATACAAGTTCTTGTACAAGTTTGTACAGGAACTAGCAGTCTAGTTCTTAGATGTCTGTGGAGCCGAGTCGTCTCGCGACGAAGAACGGCGAAGTCTCGAGGCGGAGGGCGCGCGCGGAAAGTCGCGGAAGTGTCGAGAATCCGAGTGGGTGATTCGCAGCGACTACGTTCGTCGCCGGTTGACACAGATCGCGTGACTCGGAGCAGCCGCGTGACACGCACGGTGGAAAATTCGATTTCGCCGTGAGCGCGAGACTCGAGACTTGCTCTCCGTCGAGGATTCTCTCGGCGTTTCGTTTGTACAATGTAGGGTAGAAATGAAGACAATTTTCTTATGCAATTAGACCCTGAGGAATCGATTGAGTCCACGCAGACCTCGATCGGACTAGCCGCTACGGCGATATGATAATGTAGTCTTCTTTCAACTAGAGGCGTCGCATAAGCATACACGACCGACCTCGCGACCCGCACTTTGCTTCGCGTCCGTACTTGACGCCAGGCACTGCTATATCTTTTGACTTATCTCGCGAGATGCTTCACCATAGCGCGGATTATGATCCATGGAAGAACTCGAATTGAATTTTAGCCCTATTTTCGACTCACACTTCCTAATATCTGTATATTCTGAAGGATCAATATAGCTTTAATTCACATGAAAACTAAAATCATATTTAGTGGTTCTAATTGGTAGAAAGCGCACAAAATGCCATTTGTAGGTTCTAAAGAGGTCTTCTTGGTAAGGTTTTACGTTAAATAAAATCAGAAGAGGCTGGTGTAGGCTTCAGAGTATCTAAGTAAACGTTAAATCGAATATTGAGGTTAAAAGTAGGACCAAATGTCGACTCGAGAAAATGAGAGATGGATAAATTTGCTTGGTCTGACTTTCGGGTCGATGCCACATTCTTATGAATTTATTTTCGACGTTTCGTGAACATTTCAGTTTACTTCTTCAGGAGACTTCTTTAGAGGAACAACCTAAGACTCCGTAAGAGATGAATAAATTTCTGTGCTTCGGGAAAGATCCTCTCAAGTACAATTAAAGAGATTGCCTTGTCTAGACGGTTTGAAAATAGCTCTTTATAAGAATTTTTTTTGGAAATCTGTGAAAAGATGTCGTTTAAATATTTTTGTCAATTATTAGACAATGTTTTAAATACAAAATTATATTTATATATTACAAAAAAGTTAACAATTTCTGTGATATCTATATACAACATGTGGAAAAATTGGGGTACTTTTACATTGAAAGATTTTCTTCCGTCAGTTGAGCTAAAACAAAAAACGAAATAATATTGTAATCTACTTATCTATTCTTAATGGCACGAACTATGGCAATTGAATAATTTATTGTATCGACAAAATAGCGACGTTTTAAAAGCAGAAAGTGATTTTTTCTTAAAATTAGCCCAGTTTTTAGCTCATAAAAAAAGAAGCTGTTAAAGCTTTTATAACATTTGTAGTCTGCGTTATGAATAAGCTAATTTGAAAGATATATATATATAAAACTAGAAATCAATTGGTTTATTTATCGATTTTTTATTTTTAAATTTTCCTCAACATCGGATTGAAAAAAGTGATTTCGATTTAAACGCGTTTAAAATTTTGATATCAGATTTCATGCATAACAAATGTTTGCCATTAATCAGTTATTTCGAAAAAATCCAGGATAACTGCATTTAGTAAAATATAAAGTTCAGATAACTACATTTTATCGGAAATATTAAATTTACAAAAGTGTACTTATTTTTCACATGTAATTTTTCATCTTGCTCCATAAAACAAGCCAAGATAAAAATCGACAGGATTGTTCGTCTTAAAGTTGCGATCTCTTTCGTAAGTGGAGGACAAATGTGCCCCGCAGGTACGAAATGGTTCAGCAAATTGGACGAAGCGAGGGGGAAATCAGAAAGTACAATTTTAAATTTGTACAAAGAGATCGCGGAGAAAGAAGAGATGTGAGGGATGGGGGAGAGAGGACGAATTCCGCGCGCACGCGTCGCGATATACACGGTCCGCGTCCTCGTCGTCGCCTCGTCGTCGCCTCGTCGTCGCCTCGTCGTTGAGACAGACACAGGTGGGTGTCCTCGTCCACCGGCGAATTATTTCGCTATGGCGCGCGCTATATTTTCGACGACGGCGGCGGCGACCGCTCTCTCTCGCCTCGGATACGCTCGAAAGGTAAATTTCGCTTTAGACGCGGTAAATGGAATGGAAGAGGCGATTACGCTGAAATTACCCCGAGTGACAGTAATTTGCCGGGTCACGCCACGTTCGATCATTGCCTTCAGTCATCCCTTTCCATGCCGCTTGCGCGGGCTTCTCTCGCCGAACTTTCGTAGCGTCTATACGACACGGGGTCCCGATTAACTCGCTCGATCCCAGGCTCTCGACACTCTCCCCTCTCTACCCCTCTCCGTTTCCCCTTCGATTAACACCCTTATTTATTCATTTATTCCTATATTTATTCCTATATTTATCTTCTCAATTTTCCCTCCGTCGCACTCGCGCGCCATCCTCCCCTCCCCTCGCGCATCGATTTTCTTTCTGATCAATACGTTCGTTATTATTTACGTATTGTTTGGGCTCGCTCGTCCCATCGGCAAACCGTATCATTATTCTTCACAGTCGCGTGTTTATCCGCTCTCTAATAGGTACGCATCGAATGTAAGGAAATTCATTGCGAATGAATGAATGAATGAACCGAGCGAACGCATCGGCGCGGCAGGAGGGG